TCCTGACGGCGAGAACAATTAATCAACGGAACGGCTTGCCTCCAGAAGTTGCGGCTGCTTCATCCCTGGAGGTTTTTTAAGAAGAGATTGGACATCTATTTGTCAAAAATGGTGTAGGGTCTCCGGCTTGGGCAGGGGGGTTGGACTAGATGACCTACGAGGACCCCTGTTAATCTAATCTAACCCAATCTAATCATCTAGAGATTTACACAGCGGTGGGATTCAAGCAACTTAACAACCGGTTCTCTGCCCTAATGATTTCTTCCAACAACCAGTTTGCTCAGAAAGTTAACAACCGGTTCTCCCGAAGTGGTGCGAACCGGCTGAATCCCACCAGTGGATTTACACCAGCGCAATATTTTTTTTCAACCAGGGCCACTTTAAACTGGGATGGATTTCAATTCCCAGAATTCCCCAGCCAGCCTAGCTGGGGGACACATCTTAAAGCATCCTGGCTGGGGAATCCTGGGAGTTGGAGTCACCCATCTTCAAATGCCCAAGGTTCAGAAACACCGTTTTACATCACAAGATGGGTTATGAGTAGGTACGTTTGCAGATTTCACAACACCGCCCCCCCCAAGAACAAAATATGCAATTGTTCATCACGCATGCACACGCCAGAAAGAGACCTCACCTTGCAGCCGTTCCCCGCTATTTCAAAAGCCCTCGTGATAATGCTGGGCGTTTAACTCCTTTGTCAGAGATCATTCCAGCTTCCAGGAATGGAATTGGCAGCAGCTTCTGTGCTGAACCGGTTTGATGGCTTCCTGTTTACCTGACTGACGGGGACTGCTGCCTTGTTCCCGGTACCTGGTGCCGGCCCTGCGAAAGCAGAACTCAAGCAGCAGGGCAGAAAATCATGTTTTCCCAGCTTGCCAGAGTCACAATTTCATCCTGGGCAGAGCCAGCGCCAAGTGGATATGCTTTAATTCGCTAAATCCATGTTTGTCTCCCATGATGGATAAGGTCTCCAGCGACAAGGTCCCTCCCGACTCTTCTATGCTATGCTACGCTATGCTAATTCTGAATTCTATTTTAATTCTGAATTCTATTTTAATTCTGAATTCTATTTTATTTAATTCTGAATTCTATTTTAATTCTGAATTCTATTTTATTCTATTCTAATTCTGAATTCTATTCTATTCTAATTCTGAATTCTATTTTAATTCTGAATTCTATTTTATTCTATTTTAATTCTGAATTCTATTCTAATTCTGAATTCTATTTTATTCTATTCTAATTCTGAATTCTATTCTATTCTGATTCTGAATTCTATTTTAATTCTGAATTCTATTTTAATTCTGAATTCTTTTATTCTATTTTAATTCTGATTCTATTCTAATTCTGAATTCTATTCTATTCTATTCTAATTCTGAATTCTATTTTAATTCTGAATTCTATTCTATTCTAATTCTGAATTCTATTTTATTTTATTTTAATTCTGAATTCTATTCTGAATCTATTCTATTCTAATTCTGAATTCTATTTTATTCTATTTTAATTCTGAATTCTATTCTAATTCTGAATTCTATTCTAATTCTATTTTAATTCTGAATTCTATTCTAATTCTGAATCCTATTTTATTCTATTTTAATTCTGAATTCTATTTTAATTCTGAATTCTATTCTAATTCTGAATTCTATTCTATTCTATTCTATTCTATTCTATTCTATTCTATTCTATTCTATTCTATTCTATTCCAATTCTGAAGTCAAGTCAAGTCAAGTCAAGTCAAGTCAAGTCAAGTCAAGTCTAGTCTAGTCTAGTCTAGTCTAGTCTAGTCTAGTCTATTCTTTCAACTTCCAGAATGCCCCAGCCAGCATAGTTAATTCTGAGAATTGAAGTCCATGCATCTTTAGGTGGCCAAGGTTGAGAAACGATGCATTAAATATTTTTATTTCCTACCGATGGGATCCTTCTACCTTTTCTGCCAATGTTAAATAGCATAGTCTGCAGCAGCAACTTTCTGGAGCAACGTAAGAGCTTTTGGGCTACAAAATTAGCCAGAATTGCAAATTTATGTTTCGAACTGATTTCAATAAATTTTTAAAAATTGAATGGATTTTGGATGGCAACTGACATGTATTTATAATAGTTGCGGTGTCCTGGGGTCATGTGATGCCCTTCTGACAAGCAAAGTCGATGGGGAAGCCAGATTCATTTAACGACCGGGTTACTAATTTAATAACTGCAGCGGTTCACTTAACAAACGTGACAAGAAAAGTCGTAAAATGGGGCAAAACTCACTTAAGAAACGTCTCGCTTAGCAATATACATTTTGGGCTCACTTATAGTCACAAGTCGAGGACTACCTGTAGATAGACAAGACAATTAAAAGATACATAGGAAGACACTGTGTGTCTGAACAAAACTCCGTGTTGGCAACAGGAAGAGCATCCGGCCATTAAAACACTCTGCTAGCTCCATTCAGTTGCCCAGACTCCATCCTGCAAGGAATTTGGGGGTCGTTAAAAGATGATGACGATGATAGGAAGACACTCTGTGCGTGTGTGTGTGTATTACAGGATACTTGACCAGTGAGATTCCAGCCAGCGACTATTCCCAATTGCAATAATTAGAAACTATTTAAAATTCCTATCTTGGCTGCATTAATTTAATCACTAGTAGTGGAGAAAAACCCGGTCTAAGTTAATTTTAAATAAAAAGTAGAAGCAGAGCCACAGAGCATTGGGGGGGGGGGGGGGTGCAGTAGCCACATGTAGCTGGGCAACACCATCTCCCATTATCCCCAGCCTGGAAATACTGGGAAGTATAGTCATCTCAGCCCGGAGGGAACCTGGTACAGCATATTGCAGTAAGAAATGCCGTTTGGATTTTTGCATTATGTTCCTGCAAATGTAACGTAACTGGTTACATTTATGGTTAAGTGTAATAACCATAAATGGTTATTTATACTGGTTATATTGTACAGTATATAGGGAGTCCTTGACTTATGACCACAGTTGAGACCAGAACCTGCGTTGCTAAGCAAGACAGTTGTTAAGTGAGTTGCAACGAAGTTTGCAACCTTTTTGTGCCAATTTTGTTAAGCAAGTCACTCAAGCTGTTAGTGAATCTCGGAATCATTAAGCAAATTCTCTACTGACTTAGTTCGGAGTGCCAGGAAAGCTGAATTCAAGGCAGTTGTTAAGTGAGTCCTGCCCAATTTTATAACCTCTTTTTTGGGGGGGCCACACTTGTTAAATAAATTTATTTATTTATTGTTAAATAAATCACTGGGGTTGATAAAGTGAATCCCGTGGTCATTAAGCGAGTCCAGCTTCCCCCTCATTGACTTTGCTTGTTGGACACTGGCTGGGACGGTCCCGAATGGTAATCAAGATGCTGAAACTGTCATCAATATGTGCCAGTTGCTTGAATTTTGATCACATGATGATCATGGGGAAATGCTCTGACGGTCGTAAGTGTGAGGGCCGGTCATAAAAATCATTTCTTGCAGGGCTTTTGTAACTTTAGTGAATGGTTATATACTGTTGGAAGGAAAATCCATCTGGTTCCGTTCCAAGCCGGGAGAAAGGCACTGGAAACAACATGGAGGCAGAGTGGAAAAATGGTTTATTCAACAGAATCAACAAAGACGGTTCTGGGTCAGCTAAACAAATGGTTGAGCGAGTGAATGGATCTTTATAGGTTTGCTTATGGATAGAGCCTCTAGACAGTTGGCTTCCTCTTTCAATAAGTTCTTGGATCTTGGGCGAGGAGCTGTTTCTAATCCTATCAACTCTGCTTTTTGTTAGCTGTCGAACTTTGCTGCAAGCAGTTGAGAAATATCTGGTCTTGAATGGATTTCTGCCTGCAGTATTTGCTTTGCTTATGGATAGAGCCATCTAGACAGTTGGCTTCCTCTTTCAATAAACTCTTGGATGAGGAGCTGCTTCTAATCATATGACTGCTTTTTGTTAGCTGACAAACTTTGCTGCAAGCAGATGGGAAATATCCGGTCTTGAATGGATTTCTGCCTCCAGAATTTGCTTTGCTTATGGATAGAGCCATCTAGACAGTTGGCTTCCTCTTTCAATAGGATCTTAGGTGAGGAGCTGCTTCTAATCCTATCAACTCTGCTTTTTGTTAGCTGTTGAACTTTGCTGCAAAGCAGTTGGGAAATATCCTCTCTTGTATGGATTTCTGCCGGCAGCATTTGCTTTGCTTATGGATAGAGCCATCTAAACAGTTGGCTTCCTCTTTCAATAAGCTCTTGGATCTTGGGCGAGGAGCTGCTTCTAATCCTATCAACTCTGCTTTTTGTTAGCTGTCGAACTTTGCTGCAAGCGGTTGGGAAATATCCTATTGTGAATGGATTTCTGCCTGCAGTATTTTGCTTTGCTTATGGGTAGAGCCATCTAGATAGTTGGCTTCCTCTTTCAGATAAGCTCTTTATCACCTGTATCTGCTGTGCCTGCCTCTAAAAAAAAAAAAACACACGTTTCTCCATTTCTCCTTTAGGGAAATATAATGTCCTGCTGCCTTTTTTAAATAATATTTCCCAAAATATTTCATTCTTCTAGGCTTTCCACAATACATAGAGGACGACCTGCATTATTTATCTTAGTTATGTCCAATGCTAAATTAGAGGCAGTCCTAAAAATGGCTCTAAGGAGGCATTAAGCTAAGCCGAACTTTCTCCATCAGGGAGCTTCACCAGACCGACTTCGGCCTGACCAAACCAACCTCCATTCGCCTCAGCTCAAGCCCCGCCCCCTTTGTTTGTTTTGTTTTTTCGCTTTCACCGCCCACATCGGCAGCAAACCGCTTTTCCCGCCTAAAGAGAGCGCGCGCGCGAGCCAGCAGCGGAGGGCGTGTCCTCGTCTCCGCGCGCCCCATTCCTGATTGGATAACAAGGTGGGGGGGCGCGACTCGGTCTCCGCGCGCGCCGCTCCTCATTGGATGGAACGCTCAGAGGCGTGGCTCGGGAGGGCTCCACGCGACTATATAAGCAGGGGCAGCGGGCGAGCGCGTTAGGCCAGCGTCGGCGGGAGAAGGAGAAAGAGGTGGGGGTGGACATGGCGGAGGAGGTCGAGAGCGAAGGGGCGTCGGAGCTGGAGTGCGGCATCTGCTGCATGCCTTACGACCGCTGCGGGCGCGCGCCCCGGCGGCTGGGCGGCGCGCGCGGCTCCTGGAAGCCCTCGCGCTGCCGGCACGTCATCTGCAGCGCCTGCGTCTGCCAGCTGGCGCGCGAGGGCTGGTGGGAGGAGGTCACGTGCCCCTACTGCCGGGCCGTCACCTCCCTCCGCGAGCGGGGGAACCCGCTGGCGGCCGGCGTGAGGCGAAGCAGCGGCGGCTGGAGGCGCCGCCTGGTCCTGCCGCCTATCGACGCCGAGCTCTGGCAGCGGGTCGTGCTCCGGGAGAGAGAACGGGAGCAGGCCGGCCGCGTGGAGCGCTTAGCCGGCGACGACGACGACGACGAAGAAGACCTCGAAGAAGAAGAAGAAGGGGAGGAGCAAGAGAGCGGCGAGGACGTGCAATGGCGCCCCTGGCGGACGCTGAAGAAACTCCTCAAGGGAGGCGGGCAAGCGCATGCGCGGAACGGGAGAGGGCGGAGCCGCGGCGGCTCCGGCTCCAGGTGGCGGAGGCGGCAACCAATCAACCGTGAGTGTCCTTCCCGCGAGGCATGATGGGGATTGAAGTCCCAGAGAGAGAAACTCCAGCCTATTCCTGCTTTATTGGGAGGGAGGGGGGGGATGGGAATTGATTGACGGGGTGGGGGAGGACGCGTGTTTTGGGGAGGGTCGTGACCTCAATAGCCCACCCCTCTCCCACTTGTTTTAAGCCCTCCAACCTGGCTTGCCCCCCCCTCTGCTGAATTTGGCTCCATGTTAGCCTTTAACCAGGATTGTGTGCAGCTCCCAGGTTTCCCCAGCCAACAAACCACTTTAAGACTCGTGGACTTCAACTCCCAGAATTCCCCAGGCAGCCACATAGGGTAACTTCCTTAATAGATGGTGGGTATGCAGTAAGCGTAATATATCTTTGACTTCAGTAAAGTTGGTGGGGGAGGGGAAAGCTGGCTGGGGAATTCTGGGAGTTGGAGTCTTAAATCAGGGGTCTCTAACCTTGGTCACTTTAAGACCAGTGGACTTCGACTCCCAGAATTCCCCAGCCAGCTTTTTTTCTTCCCCACTTTGCTGAAGTCAAAGATATATTACGTCAACCGCATTCCCACCGTCTATTATAAAGTTATCCAAGGTACTCTGGCCATATTTGTCCTTGTCCTATTATCCATGCTGAATTCTGGGAAACCTTTGCCGGCTGGGGAATTCTGGGAGTTGAAGTCCACTGGTCTTTTTAAAAAAAAAAAAAAAAAGTGGCCAAGTTTTGGAGATTCCTGCCCGAAAAGTGATGGGGGCTGAAAGTTCAGCTGTTGTGGGCCATGCAGAGAGAAGCCCTTGAGGCTAGAGAGAAAAGTTCGCTGTGGATGGGCTCCAGCAGTCGGAAGGCAAAACCTCTGGTCCCCAGGGCCCGACCCAGATTGGATGTTGAAACATTATCCTTCGCACAGTAACAGAGTTGGAAGGGACCTTGGAGGTCATCTAGTCCAACCCCTTGAATCCCTAGTACAGGAAGAGACCTGTACTAGGGATTCGAACTGCCGACCTTTCTGATTGACAAGCTCAGTCTTAGCTGCTGAGCCACCTAGTCGGATAGGTGTGACATGTGTAGATCTGCCTTCGTTCATGAAAACACCTTAACTCGGGTGTTAAGGAAGCTCAGGATTGGGGAAAAAGGCTCCTCGGGGTCCCTGGGTGGGTTTGGGGAGGGTGGGGTTTCCATCACATTCAAAACAGTTGAAGGCAGAGGGGATCCTGGGTAGCCACCCTGGAACGAACCGGTGGGATGAAATGCCTCAAGGCGGTGAGAGACCCTCCATTGTGACAAGTGCATGAATTCAGTTAAGGTTTATTAACTTTATACGCCGCCAGTCTCAACATTTCAGTGCTGAGCATGTCAATTATAATTGAGGATTGTAAACTGCCCACAGTTCCTTGAAATGAGGCGGAGGCCTGTAAATTTAAATTTAGTTTGTTTGTGTTGGCGAGCATCATTAAAACCTGCTTTATCTAATCTTTTCTCTCTCTCTGTGTATGTATATATATATATAGTCTATAAATCAAATTTGTATTTGCTGATAAATATCAGCAAATATAAATTTGATACAAAATAGTTTGTTGTGAATATATATAGTGAGTGTATTTCTAAACTGGCAATCCCTGTCAAAGGGGGGCTCTGTAAAATATAATTGATAAATAAAATGTACAAAATTTAAAAAATTAGGGATAAAAATTTTGAAACGATAGAATGACGAGACATAAGGGGGAGAGAAATTCTAAGATGGCCATTTAATGTAGGGATTATTACAGGCGTGGAAGGGAGCAGCCATTCCAACGGTTGCTTGGTCCACACAAGGTCACAATTTTTGACCCCTTTGTGGAAGGCCAAGAGATGGGCCTTTCCTCATTTGTGGGGCAGGACATTCCACAAAGTTTTGGTAGGGGGAGAGAAGCGGCAGAGATGGTTCTCATCCTACCAGAGACCCACCGGTTGAAATTTTCCCCTCCAGATTTATTCCAATTCTCTCAAGCCACCATCCAAACTCTTGTCATTGCATTTCTTCTGTCAATTCTTCCCTTCTGACTATACATCCGTGTTTCCCTCTCGGAGTTTCACATGTTTTATAAATGGTCCTGAATGTATCAAGCCTCCACCTTAGCAGCATCAAGCAGGAGATGAAGATGATTCAGTTAGCTTTTCCGTGTATTTTTTAATTCTTGAGTCACCAATTCTAAATAAGTACTTTTATTTAACACATGCAATGCTTGGGTTTTAATTAAAGTATTCTAGGGTGCTGGGTATTTAGATGCGTGTCCTGCTTTTTAATCGTCAGGGGTGATTCACAAACTCGCAATGAGCTGCACGCTTTGGAAGCGGCCTGCATCTCTTAAGCAGAATGCCTTAAGCAGGATGCCTCTCCTTAAAAAAAAAAAACCTTTGAGTTACAACATCAAAACAAGCATTCCTGACTTTTAAGCAAGCTGTTGAAAATTGGGCTGTTCCAAAAAAAAAAAGCATCTGGAGTGGTCTCAGCTGTAATGAGAAGTAGTCGGCATGAAATGTAATTATGGATTAGGCGGACACATTTTAGTGAAATTGTTGTGATCAAATATGAGGGTTGCTTAGTTTTGTGACTGATGTGGCATAAAAGCCATAAAGCTTTTTGCTGCTCTTTTATCCCACCTCGGTAACCGTGACTGATGTCAGGAGTAAAGTGATAAAAAAGCTACTCGGTGGAACAACTTACCTCCAGAAGTTGTGAACGTTCCAGATTTTAAAGAAAAGATTTGTCTGAAATGATAGTTTCCTGCCTGTGCAGGGGGTTGGACTAGAAGACCTCCAAGGTCCCTTCCAACTCTGTTATTCTATTCCTATTCCCATTCCGTTCTTATTCTAAACAAGACCGGTGAAAAGGCAAGGAATGGAGGCTCCCTTCTGCTTTCAGTTTGACAGCAAACAATTGTCCAATAAGGGAAAATATGTGTAGCTCAGGGTTGAAATGAGGGGTCCTGGGTGCTCTCTGAGCTTGGTTCTTTTCTTGCAGACATTTCACAACCAAACTAGGCAACATCATCAGTGCACGGCAAGTAAACAACCAAGCTCAGAGAGGACACCACAAAAAACTTTTCCAAAAGGAAAGCAACTCTCGTTCTCCCAGGCCAGAGTCAACTACTCTCTCTCTTGGCCAGTTAGTTGCAACTGTTTTATGAAAACCTGTCAGTCCCATTAGACAATTCAGTGCTTTGTGTTGTATAAAGACACAAGTGTCTGTCTTTAACTTTACAACTGGGCACAAAATCCACTTCTTCCCAGTCAGAAACTGCCCATCTCCTCCTCTTTAAGTGCCAGAACAATCACTCCATTTGTCCAATTTGTAATTGTTATCCTTTGTTTTGATTTCTGCATTTGGTGGGTGTTTTTTTAATGGGGAAATTAACTTGACAATGAAAGGGGCCTGGAGATAAAGAAAGGCTGTTCCTATGCAAGCAATTCTTTGGGAGCTAAAGAGATTTTCCGTGTATATTTATTTGAGAGAGATTTGGCTTAACAGGTTAAATCAGGGAAGCGCGGTTAAGCATCCGTTTTGGAGCTGGAAACCTGGCATCTCCGGGGTTTAGAAAGGCCTTCGGTGCCAGGAATTGAGCATTTGATGGAGGTGGACCAAGATGAGGGTTTTGACTGAATCGTTTAATAAAAAGTATATACATGTTTTCTGCGAAGTTGAGAATTTAAACGCCTAGCTTTCGAATGCAAAGCAGGCTTACTACTACTACTACTTCTCTGCTAATATCAGTCGTTCTCTCTTGTCTCCCACAGCCTACGGTCCTGAGACGAAGGACTTGGCCCTCGTGACTTGCTACGTCATCTGAAAAGGCAACGGTCACTATGCACGGGGGAACTACTTTGTGGTCAGTTGCATCGAGGGGACCGGCTACCTGGGGAAGGTAGCAGTGCCCTCTCCATTTCACATAGATACGGCAGTCTGTTGTCTTTTTGCGTTCCCAATGGGGGCAGTGTTGACAAGAAGCATGGACCGAAATAATTTTGCCCCTTCTCACTGTGAAATGCAGAAGTTACAGCAAAGGGAAAGAATTCTATCACCAGCCACGTTTTGTGAGAAGGCATTTCCTTCAAGGAAACCGTCTTAAAAGAGCTGATTTTTTTTAAATTTATTCTTCAAAGATACTAAATGTGTTCTTGGACACGATTCTCTGGAAGCGCTTCTCCCTCGGATACCCTGGCAAAATGATAACAATCCACGTGACTAAAAAAATAATAATAATTTTTATACGACTTGACACGGGTCATTGATTCCTTGGAGAAGTAGAAGAAAGGAGTACTTGGGCGATCGGTTACCATCCTTGTTTACGGTGTTTTTTGTTCTTTTTCTTCCAATCTGAGAGGCTTGAAATATTTTGCACGGCATCTTTCCAACCTGCAGAGAATACGAAGTACGTTTAAAACATATTAATTGTTGCCTCTGGAACGATGGTGCAACGGGCCTTTTGCCCCTGAAGTAGAATGGATGTTTTTGTTAGTAATTTTATTTATTTCTCTGGTTGGATTGGAACCTTCTTCGCATCCATAGACCTGAAATGAATGGAGAAAAAAAAAAAAATGAGAAGCCATCAAATCTGACTTTTAGGAGCATCTCTGGTCCGTAGAAGGAGGAAACTTGACCTTTTTGAGCTTGTTTGGTTTCTTAGATGAGGAATTGAAATGAAATAGGCCTGAAGTAAGAACAGCTCCCGCGAAAATAACTTCATTTTTGAAGACAAATGTACCCTTGTGATTGTTTTCGACAAGGTCACTCCGGGTTGTGTCTTTTGTCAGGATAATCTTTTTCTTTGGTTGCACGGCTGGAAAACGGTCCTTTTATTGCCCCCCCTACGTGAAGAGTTTGCCTCTGGAGACAGAGAGATCGTGTGAGATCTTGTGACCTTGTCGAGTTTCAAATGCTGTATCTATATATCTTTTTTTTTTTAAAAAGGAATCCATTTCTGTGAAATGTGTTTGAAGGCCTTCCTAACTTCATATTTATATTCTTGCTTTCGTCGTTTGGCAGCTGTTAAGTTATTTGATGTTAAAATAAAAGACGTAGGATTTTAAAGCTTTGCCGGTGACATGATTGGCGAGGGATTCCCTCCGCAGGTAGAAACACACCGCCAGCCGGCGTTGTGGTTTCCATAGTTTGCATCAATAAAATTCCCCCAGGCCACGTGCCACGATGGGTCCCTCCTCTATTTTTTAACGACGGGTGAAGAAAGGAACTGGAAGAATTTTGGAATGCCGTCTTCCTGCAGCTTCGAGTTTTGATTCAGCTGGAATTCGGTCCCCGATTTCTCCATGGAAAAGATTGCTCTAAGCTTCCTCCGACCATATCCTGTTTGTTCACCGCTCTGGACCTATAATCTTCCCCAGCCTCGCGTGACCTTACCTGCAACAAAGATGCTGCTTTGGATGGACGTGTGTGGGAGGCCACTGAGTCATTCGACGCGAAGACGACACCTGGCCCTGGGGCTTTGCGATGGGCCACTTTTTGCACGGCGGGATGTGTGACTCAAGCGTTCGGAGGCCAAAAAAGAGCCTCTCATTTCCAAACTGCCAATTGCATTTCCAAACTGCCAATTGGGGAAAACGCCTTGGGGGGGTGGGGGGAAGCTAATTAGACAGTCAGCCCCCCGGTTTTCGTCTTGAGGTGGGGGGGGGGAAACCCGGAAGCTTCCAGATTTCTGAAGAAGTCATGGAAATTGACAATTTGGGTAGAAATAGGGGCCGAGGAACATGTCGTAAGAGCAGCTATTCCTATTTCCTGTGCTTGCAATTAGTTGTACATCTTGTTCAGATGGAAACTTTTACAGCGATTAATCTGGGCTGTGGCCATAGGTCACACTTCACCACGTTCAACCAGTTTTCCCTGCTAATTTTTTTTTTTAATTGCCACAATAGGCTGGCCCATAATGTGCTACATAATAGGCGGCCCTCGACTTACGACCGGTTGCTTGCTTATTGTTACAAAAGAGACCAAAAAAAGTACTTGTGACTTTTTTTTTGAAGTTTTTTTAAAGCCTCCCCAGTCATGTGACGGTAACCGTTTAAGGAAATCTATATCGTCACCTAACTTGCTCTCGGTGATGCTGGGTGGGCTTACAAGAAGAGAAACCCAATATAAAAACCTTAAAAAATAACGATGGCGCCATCCCACTCTGGAGTCTCCAGGCCTTGCAGGGAGAGGATGTTCCACAGGGAGGGCGCCACCACAGAGAAGTTCCTCCTCCTGGGTCCCACCAGATGGCCCTCCTCAAGAGAGGGGACCGCTAACAATCCCCTGTCTCCCTGCTCTGGGAAATAGATGGAACCAGGGAAAGATGGTCCTTCAAGTAACAGGGAGGGAGCCACCCCAGAGATGGCCCTTCTTCTTGGTCCCACCAGATGGGTCTCCTTAGGAGACGGGACCCATAACATCTCCCCACTCTGGTAGGCCTGGTAGATTGTGATGACCCTGGGCACGGCACAGAGATAACACAAGCAGCTGGCAGTTCAAACCGTCCCTTTATTGCTCCAAATTTCCCCAATGCTCCCACGTTTCTGGCCAGTCCCCAGAACAAAGTGATGACAGGCACACACACAAACCTCCAGCAGCCTCTGGCTGCAAATAGTCCAGCCCAGCGCTGTGTACAACCAAGGCTGCACAGCAAGAAATCCAGCAGGGCAAATCAAGGCGTTCAGAGGAAAGCAAAGGATCCAGTTAATTAGTCCAGAAAGAACGCGCAAGGACTCTTGGAAAGTTCAAACATTGGCACTCAACGCTTCAGGGACTCGGTGTTTGTTCTTGACAAATGCCCCTTCCCCCACAGCGTCTCGTTCCCCAGGTATGCCTTGTGAAGAGGGTTGGGGCACTCTCCTGAGTAGCCTGCTCAGTCTGCGCTGTTCTCGGCTTCTCTCCACTCTCCTTGCTCGAGGATCAGGAAAGAGGTGGTCCTTCCTCATCGCCTGAGCTCTGCCTCGTGTTCCTCCCTGTCTACAAACTGTCCTAATCCTGAAATGCCTTGGCCTGACTGGCCCTGCCCTTCCCCATTTTCCTCAGGTTCCAGCTCGTCTCCCCCCTCCCCAGCAGATTCAGGCTCTGATGGGGGCATGACAGTTCTTCAAATAACAGGGAGGGAGCCACCATGGAGGTCCCACCAGATGGACCTCCTCAAGAGAGGGGATCCCCTAATATCCCCCGCCTCCCTGCTCTGCTGGATCACAAATGTCCCTGGGAAAAGGGGGTCCTTCCAATAAGTACATTTGCAGTATTCCTATGGGTCACGTCACTGGGAACTCTTGAAGTCCATCTGTCTTAAAAAGTCGCCGATCTTTGAGAAACGCCGCCAGGGACCCCAACGGCTAGACCTGAACAAGCTTGTTCCTTCGCCACCCATAACCAACTGCATCTTTATTTGCACCCCTCCCAATTTTGGGGGAAAAAAAAGATTGGGACAGAACTAAAATGCATCTGCGTGGTGTGCATTCGTTTGTGTGTCTGTGTGTGTTCACCCTAGACAGAAGAGGCCGGCGCGACTGGGCTTTTATGTAGCCAAGGAAACAGTGCCTTTATTCTGCAAGATTTAAACAAGAAGTGACTCGAAATTCGGCAACCCGACGTGGAGTGCAGCTTGGCCTCTCCCCCCCCCCAATTTCTTCCCCCCCCCAAAAAACCGGCTTGCTTTCACAGGGGGAGGGTGGGCGAAGGGGAGAAACGGGCCTGCCCTCCCAAAGCGGGGGCATATCTGGGCAGGCTCCCCCAAAGTTCTGGCTGGAGAGGTAGGGGAGGGGGGCTCCCCAAACAGACCGTGGTCGGGGAGGAGGGTCTCTGCGTTCTCCCCGTCCCACGGGGAGACAGGCCCAAAAGGGGGGGGGGGAAGGGGATTAAACATACAGCATGAGTGTGTATACATTATATATATATTCATATTTATAAGAGTCCCTTTGCAGTGCTTCTCGAAAATTTCAACACCGGGTAGGGGGACAGCAGAGACCCCCCCTAATAGCAGGCTGCCCCCCCTCCCCTGTCCAAGCCCCACGTGGCCTGGATCCTAGCTCTTTTTTAAGTTGGTCCCCGTCCCGGAACCGCGAGCCGGGGATACAAACCAGCTCGGTCCTGAGTACCTCTTGGTCAGTCTTAAGTCCGCCGGGGATGGCTTTCTAGGTGTGGCCAGCCGCTGCTCCCCCCAACAGGAAGAAGGGGAGGGGCTCGGGAGGAGGAATTCAAATCCGAGGCGGGGCAGGCCCCAAAGCCAGTCACATAATCCGGAAATCAAAAAGGAGAGGCTTGGAGGGCCCCTGGGGCAGAGGCCGGGCTGGCGCAGGCAAGGGGGGCCCAGCGGGCAGGTGTGCCCATCCGCCCCCCTCCTCAGTCATCTATGCAAATCACCTCCCCGCTTTTGGCTTCTTTCTTCTCCAAGCCTTCGCCTTCCTTCTCCTTCTTCACAATCACGGGGGGCCCGTTGGCTGCAATGAAAGTTGGGGGGTGGGTTAGAGAGAGAGAGAAAGAGAAAACAAAGGGAGAAAGAAGGAAAAAAAGAGAAGGGGGCAAAGGGAGAAAGAGCAAAGGCAGAGGTTCTATCCAGTAGTGGAAGCCACTCTTACCTTCGCTACTGGTTTGGAATCGGGAGCTTGGTAATTCAGATCCGTCTGCCCCAAGACATTTATTTATACGTATATATATATTAGATTTTATATCCTGCCTTTATTACCGGTAGTCCTCGACTTACAATCTTTCATTTAGTGACCGTTGGAAGTTACAACGGCACTGTAAAAAGGGACTTGGGACCGTTTCTCAGACTTACGACCGTTGCAGCCATTCCCTGGGTTACGTGATCAACATTTGGATGCTTGGCAACGATGGTTGCAACATCCCAGGATCTCTTGATCCCCTTTTGTGACGTGACAACCAAAGTTCACAGATTCACTTAAGAAATAGCAGTCATAAAATAGGGCAAAATTCACTTAAGTGTTTTGCTTTAGCAACAGAAATGTTGGGCTCAATGGCGGTCGTAAGTCGAGGACTACCAGTATTGATTACATTTTTATCCTGCCTTTATTACAGATAGTCCTCGACTTACAACCGTTTGTTTAGTGACCGTTCCAAGTAACAACGGCACTGGAAAAAAAAATGACTTACGATCGTTTCTCACACCTAGGACTGTAGCGGCTATCCCCACAGTCCTAGGACCGCAATTCAGACCATTTGACAACTGACTCGTATTTATGACAGTCGCAGGGTCACCAGGTCCCCTTCGGACAAGCAATGTCAATGGGGAAGCCAGATTCATTTAACGACCGTGTCTCTAACTTAACAACTGCAGTGATGTTACGTAACACCTCTGACCAGGAAGCTGGTAAAATGGGGCAGAACTCACTTAACGACTGTCTTGCTTAGGAAATGGAAATTTTGGACTCCCTGGTGGCCATAAATCAAGGATTTCCTTCCAGCACACGATGTTTGGGTGTTTTTATAACTCTCGGTTTTTTTGTGCAACCCCCCCCCCCCCCGCCCCCGACTCCCAAGCCTGCCCCTTCACCCCTACCCCCAACTGACCTGTTATGAAGGAGCCGGTTGGCATTTGGCTGTAGTTGGCCCCCAAGGTGGGCAGGCCCCCGCCAGGGGTGGCACCGAAGGAGACCCCAAAGCTAGGTGGGGTGGCGTAGGGTCCCGGAGGGAAGGCCTGGGAAAGAAAGAAAAAAAAGGAAGGAAGGGAGAAAACTCCTTAGCTATCCAAAGTCGCTGTCTTACGAGATGGGCGGCAAACATGTTTAAAAAATAAAGTAAAATAAAATAATACAACGAATTTTAAGTTCCGATTGCCCTGCGGGTGAAAAACCAGCAGAAAGGGACCCGAGTTCAAAACCAGAAAAAGGGACTCACCCCCCCCCCAACCATCCTCCCCGGTCCACCAGCTGCAGAGGCAGAAAAACAGATGCACCAATATAAAATTGTTATATACAAAATGCAGAATAGCAGAGTTGGAAGGGCCCTTGGAGGTCTTCTAGTCCAACCCCCTGCCTGGGCAGGAAACCCTCCACCACTTCCGACAAATGGTTATCCAACCTCCTCTTAAAAACTTCCAGCGTTGGAGCATTCACAAAAGGGGATAGGTCATGGTTGAACTCAGGGAGGGGGAATCCTTGATGGTCTCTGAGCTGGGTGGTTTCCATTGAAGACCTCTCATGGCCCAACTAGGGAACATCATCAGTTCTGCTTAAATTCAGCAGAATTTAAGTTCTGCTAGAGAGAAGTGGGGTTTGTGAAAAGGAGGAGGACCGTGGGGTCCTTGGTGATCTCTGAGCGGGTTTTTTCTTGCAGATATTTCATGACCCAACTAGGGAACATCATCAGTGCTAGAAAGTGCAAAACCAGGGTTGAAATGCTCCCGGTTCGGACCGGATCGCCCGATCCAGTAGCGATGGAGGCGGGTGGTTCGGAGAACCGGTAGCAAAAATCCCCTGCCTTCCCCCCATGCCCAGCTGAGCCGCGCAATCATCAGAGGCTTTTTTTTTTTTAATTTTTAAAAGCATTTTTTCTACAACCTCTTCGGCCGAAAAAATGCTTTTAAAAGTAAAAAAAAAGCCTCTCATGATCGTGCGGCTCAGCTGGGATCTTCAGAGGCTTTTAAAAGCATTTTTTCTACAACCACTTCAGAGATTGTAGAAAAAAATGCTTTTAAAAGCCTCTGACGATCCCAGCTGAGTTGCCTGATCTGCAGAGGCTTTTCTTTTTAAAGCCTCTGACGATCCCAGCTGACTTGCCTGATCAGCAGAGGCTTTTTTTCTTTTAAAAGCCTCTGACGATCCCAGCTGAGTTGCCTGATCGGCAGAGGCTTTTTTTTTTCTTTTAAAAGCCTCTGCCGATCAGGCAACTCAGCTGGGATCGTCAGAGGCTTTTAAAAGAAAAAAAGCCTCTGCTGATCAGGCAAGTCAGCTGGGATCGTCAGAGGCTTTTAAAAGAAAAAAAGCCTCTGCAGATCAGGCAACTCAGCTGGGATCATCAGAGCCTTGTGAAAGCATTTTTTTTACAACCTCTTCGCCGAAGAGGTGGTAGAAAAAATGGTTTTAAAAGTAAAAAAAGGCCACGCCCACCCAATCACATTACCCCTTCCCCGCCAAGCCACGCCCACAAAACCAGTAGTAACAAATTTTAGATTTCACCACTGTGCAAAACCCCTTTGAGCACTGATGAGGTTACCTAGTTGCAAGAAAACTGCCAAGCTCAGAGACCACCAAGGACCCCACAAAACGAGGAAATATCACGATGTGGACACGCCGTCTGCTAATTTCAGGGGGGAACGGAGGTTGGGGGGTGGGGAGAGGAGGGGTGGAGAGAGAGAGAGAGAGCAGGAAGGTTGGCATTTTACCGGAACGGTCTGAGTTTCGTTCCCCTTGCTTGCTAAGCGGCTCAGGATGCTGCGCTCGGACATCTGGAGCCGGGCAGCGATCGGAGGGATGCGGGAAAGCGTAGCCGGCAGGCGAGTCACGTCGGCCTTCATGTCGCTGAGCAGCTCCTCCAGCTGGTTCAGCACTGGCCCAGCCGCCCAAAAGAAGAAGCAGGAGAGAAGAAAAGAAGGAGGAGGAGGAGGAGATAGAAGAGAAAGCAAAATCCATCAGATGACCTTTCCTGGCTGGCTACGCTCCCTGGAGAACAGCCTTCCCAATTTCAAATCAGAATAGAGCTGGAAGAGGGGACCTCAGAGGTCCTCTAGTCCAACCCCCTCCCATCCCATTTCAGACAAACGGTTGTCTATGGTGTCTCTTCCAGTGTTGGAGCTCCCACAACTTCTAGAGGCAGGCAGTTCCACTGATTAAATCTCAAGTTAGCAAGTTCTATATTCTATAGAAGGGACCTTGGAGGTCTTCTAGTCCAGCCCCTTACTCAAGCAGGAAGGAGATCCTATCCCATTCCAAACAAATGACTGTCCAGTCTCTTCTCGAGGGCCTCTAAGTCCCTGGCTAATTCTTTTTCCTGCCAGCTGTTCTAGCTGAACCCAAAAGCCCATCGTCCACCAAGGTATGGAATGCCCCAAAAAGCAGGAGATACAGGCAGTCCTCGACTTAACGACCGCAATCGAGCCGAAAATTTCCGTTTGCTCAGCGAGACACCTGTTGAGCGCGTTTTGCCCCATTTTACCACCTTCCTTGACAACGGTTGTTAAGCGAATCACTGCAGTTGTTCAATTAGGGAACGCGGTCGTTAAGACGAATCCGGCTTCCCCCATTTGACTTTGCTCGTCGCGTGAGGCCGGGACGCTGCAACCGTCATAAATGTGTGTCGGTTGGCAAGCGTCTTGAATTTTGATCACGTGAGCCTGGGGAAACGCCGCAACGGTCGTTAAGCGTGAAAAACAGTCCCTTTTCTCAGTGACGTCGTAGCTTCAAACTGTCACTAAATGGACTGTTGTAAGTCAAGGACTACCTGTAATTTTATTCGAAGAGAATTCAAGGCCTCATAAGCTAAAACTCGGGCGATACTCACGTGATAACTGGTTAAATTGATGAGAGAAATGCACTAGAATTTTATGCAGCCGCTGATATGTATCTATATATTCAGATAGATACGGGTGTATATGTTGTGTTTGTGTGTCTGTATGTATACATATATATATATATATATATATATACACATACATACATATAGGGTGGTGCAGTGGCCTAGAGGTGGAGCTCTCGCCTCACAATCAGGAGTTCGATCCTAGGTAGAGGCAGATATTTCTCTCTCTGGGCACAATGAGAATATATCTGCCGAACAAAACTCCGCACTGGAGACAGGAAAGGCATCCGGCCAGTAAAACACTCAGCTCCATTCAGCAGCCCAGATGCCACCCCTCAAGGGATTATGGGGTTGTTAAATGATGATACATATACATATAGAGACGTGACATTTTGATGGGCACAACGGTAAAATCAGGACAACTCACAATACTCGGTGAACGGATGCCAGGCAGACTGGAAGGGCGCCAAGCTAAATATCCCAGAAGCACCTGGTTTCTAACCCAACAATATTTACTGGCCGTTTTACGTTTGATAGCAAATATGGGTTTTTTTTTCTACCCTGAGATGCTCATTCCAGAGTTATTTTGGGTGGTGGTGGGGAAGAGTGACGTTCAGCAAGCGAGGAAGGAGAGAAAAATTTTGAGGGCCCTTCCAAAGAGAGAGGACGGGAGAATTCTCCGGAGATACTAGTGGGATACTCGGTGGGACAGACGGAAGCAGAGATACACAGAGCAGGACCAAGGAGACGACCCACACACCGTGGCTTTGCTCAGCACAACCGCACTTTAATGGATTCAGAGAGGGGGGTACAGAAGGATCACGCACAGAGGCCGGGGGATGCGGGGTGTGGTGGTGGGGGAGTGGGGGAGTCACGTGGACCGTCCTCGCCGCGCCCGCCTACCCGCCCGCCTCTTACCCTTGTGCAGGACGGCGTTGGCGGGCTTGTTGCCGGCCAGAGACTCCTTGGACAAGTGCTGGTGGCTCTCGGCCAGACACTCCACCTCGGCAAAGCGGGTGTTGAGGGCCATGGCCGGATGGCTGGGATCCTGCGTCATGTTCAGGTAGGCGGCCCGGCGGAGCTGCTCTTCGATCACCAAGGCCTGTTCCAGGAGCTGGAATTATTTTAATTTTCACTTTAATGGTTTTCACATTGGGACGTTTTGTTTTAATGTATGCAGATCGACTGTGTCGATGTCGTCTTAATTAAAATAAATGGCATTTCCAAACAAGTAATCTTTGAAGAAATCTTTCATTTTATTAAGTACGACAATCTGTCCCCGATTGTGGCATAGCCAACACTGACTTCCTGCCCCCAGACCTTCCCTTTCCATTCCCCAATTCTCGGCATCTCATTGGCCATCTTCCAAATCACTCTCCCCATATCTACTATTTCAGCTCCCAGGAATGTCCCCCCTCCCATCTCATCTCCTAGGGGATATTATCTTCAGGGAAAATAAGTAGGTGAGAAGTCAAGCGTCCTCTTGCCAGCTGCCCCCCTCTTCTCCTTCTTATGTCAGCACTAGAGTAAATGCAGGTTGAAGTGCTGACACACTGTACATTCAAAGTGAGAATAAAGTTATTCTATTCTATTTCTATTTTATTCTCTATTCTATTTCTAGTCTATTCTCTTAATTTTATTTTATTCTATTCTCTATTCTAAATTCTATATTTTATTCTTTTCTAATTCTATATTTTATTATCTATTCAATTCTATTTCTACATTCTATTCTATTCCTATTCTATATTAATTCAATTCTATTCTTATTCTATTTCTATTCTATTCTATTTTCTATTTCTATTCTATTAATTCTATTCTAATTCTAATTCTATTTCTATTCTACTCTATTAATTTCTATTTCCATTCCATTCCATGTTTTCTTTCCTATTCTATTCCGTTCTATTCGAAGAAACGAGGGAGGAAACGGGGAGAAGACAGAAGAATCATTCCTCCTTCTAAACCTTGAGGACGAGGTCCTGCTTTTCTCCTCTGCTACCCCTAAGAGATTCGTTCGCACCTTAAACCTTCTGGCCAGGAACTTGTTCTTCATCTCCAAGAAGTTCCCCTTGTTGGCTTCGCTTTTAAAAGGCTCGTTGATGATGGCAAACTGGTTGTCGTTCTGGATGTCCTGCCAGCGAGCGTAGCCGTGTCTGCCGGACGGGGGTGGGTGGGTGGGTTAAGGAGTGGTCCACTTGTGGCAAGGAGGAGAGACCCGAGGAACTCAGAGAAGGGGGATCCGAGGCTCATCTGAGCATCCTCAAGGATGATGTCTATCTCCTCTTCCCTTTACTGTCTTAAAGCGAGGAACGGCTGACAATCCACAGCGCGATTGCGATGCACCGGAAACAAACTATAACTCAGACTTGTTTATGGAGATTCTCGGTCATCCAGGATCACGGTAGTCCCAAAAGGTGCTTTTTCCAAAGACCACGGGACTTTTGCCAGCTGCCTTTGGAAAAAAGCATCTTTGGGATCGCATATATGTAAGTTTGAGATTGTCCCTCGAGGAAATGTCAAGGTACCTGGGACGATCTCACCGCGGCCACACCGGAAGGAAGCCATTCGATGGGTAGCATTTCACCCCTGCCTGAGACCCGTGGGCTGCAGCCCACTCCCGCTTTTCCCAGACATTCTCCCAGGAGCTCTGCTTATAAATAAGCAGACCAGCCACCACCCAGCTTTGCCACTTGGCTGTCCCTTGAAAACGCTTAAGCCTCCCCATCCTTCATATGATGTGTTTGCAAGCCCAGTTCTCTCTCAAGACGGTATCCCTTTCTCGCTTCCCCACGGTGGTCCGGGGCCTGTTCTCCATCTTTACCCCGAGTCGCGGGCACACACAGCCCCCCCCATCCCCCCCCAAGCCAAAGGATACAGGACGATGCCCGCCAGCAACCAGTAGTCATGTCGGCGGTGCCAAATTTCGTTCAGCTTGCTGGAGGAGATGGCGGCTCGTTCTTCGTTCTGCCAGAGGGTGTGAAGTTCTAGCCGGAGAGATGGGAGAAAAATCGTCACCGGTCGGTTTGGGAAACCCGGTTTATGGACAGGTGACATGTCCAAGAATCAGAAATTCTTTCCCCGCCAAGACTGAATTTTATTATTTATTTATTATTTATTATTCGAATTTCTATACCGCCCTTCTCCTTTCGGACTCATGTTACCCACGTGACAGCTAGTCCTCAACGTACGGTCCCAATTGAGCCCTCGGTTTCCATGGCTAAGCGAGACAGTTGTTAAGCGAGCTTGGGCCTGTTTTACCACCTTTCTTGCTGCCGTTGTTAAGCGAATTGCTGCCGTTCACATTAACGGTCGTTAAATGAATCCGACTTTCCCCCATTGATTTTGCCTGTCAGCAGGTCGCAGACGGGGATCATGTGACCCCGGGAGACTGCGACCGTCATAAATATGAGGTTGCCTGAATTTTGATCACCTGAGCACGGGGAGGCTGCAATGGTCGTAAATGCGAAAAACTGCCCTACGTCACTTTTTTTTCCAGTGTAACTTCAAATGGTCACTAAATGAATGGTCATAGGTCAAGGACTATCTGTAAACATGACGACAAGGAGGTGGCACTGGTACTGTAGACTTCTCTATACGGCTAGTCCTCAACCTACGCCACTATTGAGCTGAAAATTTCCGTTGCTAAGCGAGACAGTTGTTAACGGAGCTTTTGGCCCATTGTACGACCTTTCTTGACACCATCGTTAAGCGGAACTCTGCAGCCGTTAAGTGAATCAATAGCACAGTTGTTGAGCGAATCCGTCACAAAAGGGGACCGCAGGACCCCGGGACACTGTGACCGTCATAAATGCACACCAGTTGCCAAGCGTCCGAAGTTTGATCCCATGACCGTGGGGAATGCTACAATGGTCATAAGTGGGAGGACCCGTCCTAAATCCCCTTTTTCCTGCGTTATCCTAACTTGGAACAGTTGCTAAACGAATGATTGTAAGTCAAGGACTACCTCTACTTGCAACCCCAAACCTTGCAAACTTGGCTCTTTGGGCGTGGGGTGTGATGCTCTCCTATTATATTCAGTTTTATATGGCTTGGGGTTTTTATTCTGTTTTTAAAAAAAATTTATTTAAAGATATTGGTTTTAGCTGTACCCGACTTTGGGTCCAAATTTGGAATGGAATTTATTTGTTGGTTGGTTGGCTTGTAAAATTTATTTGCCGCCCATCTTGCGATGAGGCAAATACTCTGGGCTGTTTACAGCAATAAAAACAAGAAATAAAAAGAATGTATGTATTTGTTTCTTAAATTTATTTGCCATCAATCTCACCTCACCTCGCCTGTTCACAACAATAAAAGCGGAGTAATGAAAGGAATTTATTTTATTTTATTATTTTATTATTTATTTATTTATTTATTTATACATACATACATACATACATACATACTTTAATTTAATTATTTATTTGCCATGAATTTCACTTCAGGGCTATACTCTAGCCTGCTTACAGCAATAAAAACAGAAATGAAAATAATTTATTTTATTTTATTTTAATTTATTAATTTAATTTAATTTGCCATCAATCTCACCTCAGGGCTATACTCTAGCCTGCTTACAGCAATAAGAACGGAGGAATGAAGAGAATTTATTTATTTTATTTTATTTCAATTTATTAAATTTATTAATTTTATTTAATTTTATTTGCCATACATACATACATACATACATACATACATACATACATACATACTTTAATTTAATTTATTTGCCATGAATTTCACCTCAGGGCTATACTCTAGCCTGTTTAGAGCAATAAAAACGGAGTAATGAAAAGAATATTTATTATTTTATTTTATTTTATTTTATTTTATTATTTTATAATTTTATTTTATTTTATTTTATTTGCTATGAATTTCACTTCAGGACTACACTCTAGCCTGCTTACAGCAATAAAAACGGAGTAATGAAAAGAATTTTTAAAATTCATTCATTTATTAATTAAATGTATTTGCCATCAATCCCGCGGCAGGGCTGGCTGTACTCTTAAGGCTGCTAAAAGCAATAAAAACCGGAGAAAAGGAGAAGGACGACAAACGAAAAAAGAATGAAAAGTCTAAAGGTAACAAGTAGCAAAAGTGACGGAACGATGGAATAAACAATGGGAAAAAAAAAGAAAGAAAACCACGAATCCGATCTCTCCAGCGCCCACCCAGCCCAACATCCTACCTGTGAAGCCGCCGTCCGCAATGTTGAACATAAACCGGGGTTTCTCCGTCCGGTCTTCCCTCTTCCCGTTGTTCCGGTTCTCGTCCCGGAGGCTGCCAATTTTCGATTCCTTGGCGGTCTCTCGCTCTGATTTCACATCTCCTTTTAAGACAATATATATATTTTGGACTTTAGAACGGATCTACTTTTCCATTCCTTGGTTCCCATCTCTTTTTCAGGGTCGCCTGCTGAGGAAGCCCCGGCCAAATTCTCCCACCCACAATCCGTGAGTCTGCCTGGAGCGTGGACTACATGGGATCCCCCTGCAGAAGGAAGCCAATGGCGAGAGGGGGAAAGGATGAGGCTGGATGGCGCCATTCAGTTGTGGTATTCAGCTGGTTCTATCCGGTTCGGCGAACCGGTAGCAGTGAAAGCTCCGCCCACCCACCCGGACGTAATCACGTCCCGTTTTTGACACTCGGCACATGCGTGGAAGGTCCTGTGCATGCGTGGAGGTGCCACGGGCGCTCACATTTGCGAACCGGTAGCGAAGTGAATGCCAACACACGATTGGTTGTCTTGCCCTACCTATCAAAACCGTTGTTACTACCCCTGCCCAGCGTTGGGGCATCTCAGCAGCCAAGAGCAACCAAATCTAGATCGGGAGTGTCCAAATCTTGGCCACCTTGAAGACTTGTGAATTTCAACTCCCAGAATTCCCCAGCCAGCAAGGGTTTCCCAGAATTCAGCATAGATAGGACGAGAAGAAATTATTACCTTTCTTGCATTTTTTAATAGGATAGGATTAGAATGAGAATAAAGAATTCTAATTTTTTTTAAAAAAATTCTTTTTTGTTTAAATTTAATATTTTATTATAACACAATATGACAAACACATAACATACAACATTTAAATATATCCTCTTTTTTAACCAATGTTTCTTAGTGGTCTTCTTTCCGTTTTGTACCTTTCCCATCATCTCTCTCTTACCGTTTCATTTTCTTCATTGTCCCTTTTTCTTTGGGTACACTGTATTTTCTAACACTAATACTCTTAATTTTATACACTTCTATATATTTGTTATATACATATTTTACATTTTTAGATTCTCCCCTGTATTTATTGTTCTTTATTTCTAGTCTCAAGCCATTCTAGTCTCAAGCCAGATTATTACATAATTTTGAACAAATGGTATGAATGGCTTGAAAAAAATTCTTAATAGACAGTGGGAATGCGGTCGACGTAATATATCTTGACTTCAGCAAAGTAGAAAAAAAAGAGCTGGCTGGGGAATTCTGGGAGTTGAAGTCCACAGGTCTTAAAATCCCCAAGATTGGACGCCTAACCTAGACACTTGTCTCACAACCTCTTCCCAGCCAGGATGTAGGATTGCTCGCCCGAAAGCTACAACGGCCCCTGGTGCAAATCCTGCCATCACAGGCATTCCTCGCCTCACACGTCTGCAAATCCTTCCTCCAGCCTACGTTACCTTTCTTGGGGTCCTGAGTTTCTCCCTCCGTCTTTTCCTTGCTGTCATCACTCTCCGCGGATTTTTCCTCCGCTACCACCAGCTTCTCCAAGTCAGCATCTGGAAAGAAGAGGAGGAACCAATGAGGGGTGGGGAGGAGAGAAAAAAAAATACCCACTTTGCAAATGCCCACGGTGATTTTTACACGTCTGGAGGTCCTGCTCTGTTTTTTTCCTAACACCTTTTTATTTTAAAACGTTGATTTAAAATGTTCTTTGTCTAGTTTTGGTTTGTCTCTGAATAAAATAAAAATTGTTTTTTTAAAAAAGAAAAAAACTAAATACAATTTTGTCCCAAAGGTGCTTTTTTTCAGGTGTCAACTGGATTTTCTGGTTTTTTTGTTTTTCCCTGAAGACGTTTCGCTTCTCAAACCAAGAAGCTTCTTCAGTTCTTGAGAGCAAAGGAGATCAGTTCTTCAGAACGGAAGAAGCTTCTCGGATGAGAAGCGAAACCTCTTCAAAAGGAAAAAAAAAAACAGAAAAGTCCTGAAAAAGCACCTTAACCTGGATGACGGAGAATCTCTACAGACTTTTAAATACAATTTTAATGCTCCGATGTGAGCCTTCTCTCCTTCTTTTCGAAGGAACCTTCCCCATCAACCCTGGCTTACCCAATTTCTCCTTTTCGTCCTTGACCGCTGGTTCAGCTTCCGACTCCTTTTCCCTGGCCACCATCGGGCCCTCGTCCTCCGGCTTCTTCGAAGGCTCCAGCTCCATTTTATCCCCTGCGAAGGTGGCAGAAAGGGGCTGTTCGGGCGCGGAAGGCTGGGAAATGCAAGGCAGAGAACTCTACATAAGACCACCGAGTCTTATGTACTCGCCACAAAGAAGGGGGGGGGGGGTCAAAATTATTCTCCAAGGCACCGAAGCGATGGATGGAAACTAACCAAGGAGAGAAGCAACCTGGAACTAAGGAGAAATTTCCTGACAGTTAGAACAATTCACCAGTGGAACAATTTTCCTCTAGAAGTTGTAAATGCTCCATCATTGGGAGTTTTTAAGAAGATGTTGGATAACCAATTGTCTGAAATGGTTTAGGGTTTCCTGCTTCGGCAGGGGGTTGGACTAGAAGACCTCCAAGGTCCCTTCCATCTCTTGTTATTAGGGTCTAGTCCAACCCCCTGCTCAAGCAAGGAGACCCTCTCCCATTTCAGACAAATGGCTGTCTGGTCTCTTCTTCAAAACCTGCAGTGATGGAGCCACCCACAACTTCAGGTGGCAAGCTGTTCCGCTGGTTAATTGTCTTCCCCGTCAGGAACTTTCTCCTCAATTCCAGGTTGCTTCTCTCCTTGATGAGTTTCCATCTGTTGTTGTTGCTTCTCCTCCTGCCTTCAGCTGCTTTGGAGAGAACAGTTGTAATTTAAATAGGATAGGTATAATATACATTTCGTAAATAATAAGTACATACGTTATCAATAAAAAATAAAATAAAAATCAAGCCATTCAGGCTTGTTCAAATGCTACTCGAAGGATGTCCCTGTCATTTTTTTCGTGGGATCTTCAGGGCTGCCACGTTTACTACTGTGGGAAACCGGGAGGGGGGATTGTATGGAGCATGGGTGATATGTAGTCATAATAACATTCCTTTCTCAGGGAGTCAAGGGCATCTTGCCCTGCACCTGGACAACCAGAACTGGGAGGCATCTCCAATTGGGACGGTGCTTGATTGGACCATGTGGGTTTTGGGCAGGGACTTGAACTTTCTTTTGGGTGGGGAAAACCCGGAAGCTTTCAGATTCGGGTTTTCCCAGTTGTGCCAATATGACCTCTCTAATAAAAAGGAACTTTGAGGAACTTCAAGCCTCGGAGTTTTCTTTGGTTGGGGATGTTACTTAGAACCCTGACATTCCCAAGTTACAAACCTCGGTCTCCATTTTCTCGCCTTTGGTCTCCTTCTCCAACTTCTCCTCCTTGGTCTCCAACTCCTCCTTTTCGGCCGCGGTGGCCCCGTCTCCTTTGTCACTGGGGGCTGGAGTAGCTGGAGGAACAGAGGACACTGCTCTGACCTAGGCTTCCCGAGATCAGGAAGCCGACTCCTCGTCCCGATAAATCCTCTTTTATTTAGGTTAAAGGGAAATTCCTCTCCAGCAAAGTCCCGGCAAACTGTCTGTCAGGAGATTTCACAACTACAGACCTTTATCAGGCTTGGAGAGTTGCCAGGCCGATATCTTCCAAACGGCAGGCTGTAGTAGCAGCAATTACTTGGCAAGAAGTCAGGAACAGATCTTCGCCCCCATGAATTGAACTAATTGTCTCCTGCAAACTCCACTCCCCTTTCGCTCCTCTTTATTCCCCTCATCGTCCACCTGTGGCTTTACTCCTGAGTCGGCCCTTGTTCCTTAATTTTTCCCTTCTCCTGGCAGTTCTGCGCATTCGCACATCGGGAACAGGCTCCAGCTGTTCTTCTGCCCCACTGATGTCCGACTCCGAAGGCAGTTGATAACTGGCATCCGGCCCTGGCCCCCTCTCTGCCTCCGACGCAGAGCCCTCATCACAGCCTTCCCCAGACTCCAGGACTGGCCCATGTTCCTCCCCAACTTCCTCACTGTCCGAGTCTGCCACCAGCTCCGCTGGCGGGCCACAACAGATACGATAATCTGCCTTCAATTTTATGGATCATCCCAACAACCAATTGTCCGGGATAGAAGAAGGACTCCTGCCTTGGGGTTGGACTAGAAGACCTCCGAGATCCCTTCCAACGCAAGGTATCAACTCGCAAAGCATCCCTGGCCTGCTCTCGAGTTTCCATAGGCCAGAGGGGATGGGAAAACAGCGAAATGGCACAGCAGCCAAAGACAGATGAACATTTTATGCTTATCTCTCTCAAGGCTGTATCCCAGGGTTACCTACAGCAACTGGAGGGGAGTGACCTCTAGAACCGTGAAACTGCTCTGTTGGAATGTAATTGATAATACAACCTGGGGGGAGGGGGGAAACAGGGTCATAATTGGAGCGTAAATTACGTAGGGTCTGAGCTGGCTTCACTTGGGAACGTGCAGACATGAAGCTCATGATGTAATTAGGGCATCCATCGGAACCCTGACACAAGGATTCTATGATGCTATGACCCACTTTGACCTGCCTTCACTCAGAGCTTAGCCGTGCTCCTGTCACTTCAAAATCAATTTAACGGTCTCTGTATTTTATTTTCACAAACGAGTAGCTAGTCCTCCACTTACAAGAGTTCATTTAGTGACCATTTAAAGTTACAACGGCACTGGAAAAAAAGTCGATTTTTCACAGGCTATGAGTTCGATCCTAGGTAGAGGCAGATATTTTTCTCTCTGGGCAGACTGAGAATATATCTGCCGAACAAAACTCCACGCTGGCGACAAGAAGGGCATCCGGCCAGTAAAACACTCTTGCTAGCTCCATTCAGTTGCCCAAGACTCCACCCCGCAAGGGATTATGGGGTCGTTAAATGAAGATGACGATGATACTAGCAACACAAACCAGCCTCTTAAAAAAAGGCAGACATTGAAATCCTGAACAGAAATCATACAGACAAGATTCAGCTTTGTCCATTTCGCCTGCCTTGAAACGGGGCTGGATAAATTCAAACAGCTTCAGGGTCCATCCGTCCGTCCTCCCAACCCTCGTGACAGGTCGTGTCCTTTTGCTCCGTCCCTGGTGGATGCCTACCTGGTTTGGAGGTGCAGGGCGTGTTGGTGCAGCTGGGTTCTGGGGTGGTGGTGGAGGTTTTGATGGTGGGGGACGAGGCTCGGGAAGACTTTTTGGAGTCCGCGCTGGGGTCGGGCATCAATTCAGGCATGCTCCAGCGGCCGTTAATATGTTCAAACTCTTGTACCTGTCATGCAAACACACGCACACGCCCCCCCGTGAGCAATTTTAAGTCTGCAATGACAACGGTCGCAAAAATAAAACCATTCCGCAGTAGAAGAAGTCTACTACCCTAGCAAAAAAAAATTGGTGGGAATTTTAGAGAACGTCCAAACTGAGAAGCACATCGTTTATTTATTTTTTTTAATTTTTTTTTTAATTAGATTTATATGCTGCCCTTCTCCGGAGACTCAGGGCGGCTTACAGAGCGTTAAGCAATAGCCTTTATACTTCTGTATATTTTATACAAAGTCAGCTTATTGCCCCCACAAACTGGGTCCTCATTTCACCTACCTTAGAAAGGATGGAAGGCTGAGTCAACCTTGAGCCTGGGGAGATTCGAACCAGCAGTAATTGCAGACAGCTGAATGTTAATAACAGGCTTTTAGTCTGTTGAGCTATCCAGGCTCCTAGAGAGATACTCTGGGATAATGGTTAAAAGCGCTGGCTTAGAAACCAGGAGACCGGGAGTTCTAGTCCCGCCTTAGGCATGGATGCCAGCTGGGTGACTTTGGGCCAATCCACCAGGAGACAGTGAATTCTAGTCTCACCATAGGAATGAAAACCAGCTGGGTGACTTTGGGCCAATCACCAGGCGATGGTGAGTTCTAGTTCCACTTAAGCCATGAAAGCCAGATAGGTGACTTTAGGGGGCCAGTCCCTCTCTTTCAACCCAACCTCTTTCAACAGGATTGTGGTTTGTGGGGCAAATAGGAAAAAGGAGGAAGGAATATTGGCTATGTCCACTGCCTTGAGTTATTGACAAAGATAATAATGGCAATAAGAGATAAATAAATACATCAATAAATAGTTTACCAATGTACCGATTTATGAAGGTGCCCTTGTATTGAAGGCCTCCAGGCCAATGAGCTCCACCACCCCATCCTCAGAAACAACTCAACCAGGAGTGTCAAACTCAATTTCATTGAGGGCTATGGTTGTCCCCGGGTGGGGCGTGGCCATCTTAACGTCACCCATTGGGCGTGGCCAACTGGGTGGGTGTGGCCAGTTTGACGCCGCTCCCCAAACTGCTGGCATGTTTCCTCTTTGCATTGGGTAGACCGGCTGAAGCGATGCAGGCCAGCCAGAGGTGGTATTCAGCCGGTTCCAGCCGGTTCGTGCCGGTTCGCACCGGTTCAAACGACGCCGTCCTATTTAGGCACATTTTGAAGCCGTGCGCACACATGCAAGCCACATATGCAAGCAAAGCACATGCGTGGAAGGCCGCACGCATGCACGGAGGTGCGCACTCACATTTGCGAACCGGTAGGGAAAGTAAGTCAATACCACCTCTGAGGGCGGCCCCTTAACATTTTCCAGGATGGCCTCGCGGGCCGGATCCGACCCACGGCTCTTGTGTTTGACACCCCTGATTTAAACCAATATGTCCTTCATTTTTCCCCTTAGGCATTTTTCCCCTTAAACACTCAAAAGAGTCATTTGGACCCGTTTCCCAAACAAAAGAAAACTCCAGGAGCCACAAAACCTTTCCCGTGCCTGACGATTTCTTGAGCGGCCACAAAACTGGCATACGTAGTTGAATTAAACATTCTGCTTTTCTTCTGAAACTTTTCTTTTCTTGGATTTATCCATGGTTGGCCTACTCAGGGTTGAAAAGCTCAATAAATCGTGTGCCGGCATTGTGTCACACATTGGAGGTTGTGACTCATGTTTTGAGCGACAGGGAGCCGCAGCAGAGGGATGAAGGAGCCACATGCGGCTCCAGAGCCACGGGTTGCCGACCTCTGCCCTTGGAGAAGGAACCAATGCCAAGTAATCCGAAGGGCAGTGGATGATGGTTGGGCCCATCCGTCCTTGCTGCCCAAGAGTCCCATACCTTTTTTTTAACCAGAGACATGACTCCTATCCGTGTCAGGACCTGCTGTCTGGAAAGACCTTCCCTCGGCACCCCGTCGGCAAACGTCTCCGAACCGTCCGCTCCGGGTTCGCAGAGGTGCCTCATGAAGAGAGAAACGTAGGCCCTGCGGAGACAGAAAAGGAAAAAAATTGGGAAAGAGGGCGCGATGGTGGCTCCCTCCAGTCCAGGCGAAGGAAGTCAAACCTCAAATCTTTGGATTAAGGTAGTTTTGATTTGTTGAATTGCAGGAATGTTCCAGAGAAGGGGCGTCAAAGGTTGCCATGATGGCCGGGGAATTCTGGGAATTGAAGTCCGCATATCTTAAGGTTGCCATGATGGCCGGGGAATTCTGGGAGCTGAAGTCCACACACCCTACAGTTGCTAAGGCCGAGAGACACCGTCCTAGGAGCAGGGAGTGAGTGGAGACGTCTAGGTACGGATGCTAAAACCAATACTCTCCCCCCCCCCCCGCCCCGGTGCTTCTGGAACTTTCCGTTCCACCCGTTTGCCATCAGATTCTCTTCGTACATCTTCAACCGAGAGAGCAGCGGGCTCTGTAGCTGTGGGCCAGCTTGGCAGGAGTCACGCCTTAAGACTCGCCAATGCGCCTGGCCACAGCCTTCCCTTGCTCTGTGTCTGCTTGAGGGAGAGGAGGCCGTCCCTTCGCTTCGCTCTCCAGGAAAACACAGACAAGAAACGTGTTTGGAGAGGGTGTCAGATGAGTAAGAACCATCATCACTTGGCAAACGAAGCACTGGGTTTGGTGTCGTGGAGGTTAGAAAGCTGGAGACTGGGAGTTCTAGTCCCGCCTTGGGCAGGAAAGCCAACTGGGGGACTTTGGGCCAATGCTTCTGACAGAAAGACAGACCAGGAGACCAGGTCAGGACCTGCTGTCTGGAAAGACCTTCCCTCGGCACCCCGTCGGCAAACGTCTCTGAACCGTCCGCTCCGGGTTCGCAGAGGTGCCTCATGAAGAGAGAAACGTAGGCCCTGCGGAGACAGAAAAGGAAAAAAATTGGGAAAGAGGGCGCGATGGTGGCTCCCTCCGGTCCAGGCGAAGGAAGTCAAACCTCAAATCTTTGGATTAAGGTAGTTTTGATTTGTTGAATTGCAGGAATGTTCCAGAGAAGGGGCGTCAAAGGTTGCCATGATGGCTGGGGAATTCTGGGAGTTGAAGTCCGCATATCTTAAGGTTGCCATGATGGCCGGGGAATTCTGGGAGCTGAAGTCCACACACCCTACAGTTGCTAAGGCCGAGAGACACCGTCCTAGGAGCAGGGAGTGAGTGGAGACGTCTAGGTACGGATGCTAAAACCAATACTCTCCCCCCCCCCGCCCCGGTGCTTCTGGAACTTTCCGTTCCACCCGTTTGCCATCAGATTCTCTTCGTACATCTTCAACCGAGAGAGCAGCAGGCTCTGTAGCTGTGGGCCAGCTTGGCAGGAGTCACGCCTTAAGACTCGCCAATGCGCCTGGCCACAGCCTTCCCTTGCTCTGTGTCTGCTTGAGGGAGAGGAGGCCGTCCCTTCGCTTCGCTCTCCAGGAAAAACACAGACAAGAAACGTGTTTGGAGAGGGTGTCAGATGAGTAAGAACCATCATCACTTGGCAAACGAAGCACTGGGTTTGGTGTCGTGGAGGTTAGAAAGCTGGAGACTGGGAGTTCTAGTCCCGCCTTGAGCAGGAAAGCCAACTGGGGGACTTTGGGCCAATGCTTCTGACAGAAAGACAGACCAGGAGACCAGGAGTTCTAGTTCCATTTTAGGCATGAAAGGTGGCTGGGTGAATTTGGGCCAATCACCAGGAGACCGGGAGTTCTAGTTTCACCTTAGGCGCGAAAGCCAACTGGGTGGGCCAATCACCAGGAGACTGGGAGTTCTAGTCCCGCCTTGGGCATGAAAGCCAATTGGGTGACTTTGGGCCAATGCTTCTGACAGAAAGACAGACCAGGAGACCGGGAGTTCTAGTTCCATTTTAGGCATGAAAGGTGGCTGGGTGAATTTCGGTCAATCACCAGGAGACCGGGAGTTCTAGTTTCACCTTAGGCGTGAAAGCCAGCTGGGTGGGCCAATCACCAGGAGACTGGGAGTTCTAGTCCCACCTTAGGCATGAAAGGCAGCAGGGTGGCTTTGTGCCAATGCTTCTGACACAAAGACAGACCAGGAGACCGGGAGTTCTAGTTCCATCTTAGGCATGAAAGGCGGCTGGGTGAATTTGGGCCAATCACTAGGAGACTGGGAGTTCTAGTCCCACCTTTGCTGTTTTGCCCGGACCGGTTTCTGGCGTACCAGTGCTCCATGACAATTCCCTTGTGGGCTCCTTGGTGCTCTGTCAGCTTGTGGCTTTCTTGCAGACGTTTTGTGACCCTACTAGCTAACATTATCAGTGCTAGAAGGAGTGGGGTTTCTGAAGAGGAGGAGGAGGAGGAGGAGGAGGAGGAGGAGGAGGAGGAGGAGGAGGAGGAGGAGGAGGAGGAAAGGAGGAGGAGGAGGAGGAGGAGGAGAAGGAAGAGGAGGAGGACTGGCTTTCTTGCAAACATTTCATGACCCTACTAGGTAACATTATCAGTGCTAGAAGGGAGTGACCTTTGTGGAGAGGAGGAGGAGAAGGAGGAGGAGGTGAAGGAGGAGGAGAAGGAAAGGAGGAGGAGGACGACGACTGTGGGCTCCTTGGTGCTCTCTCAGCTTGTGGCTTTCTTGCAGACATTTCATGACCCTACTAGCTAACATTATCAGTGCTAGAAGGGAGTGGGGTTTGTAAAGAGGAGGAGGCGGTGAAGGAGGAGGAGGAGGACTGTGGGCTCCTTGTGGGCTCTCTCAGCTTGTGGCTTTCTTGCCGACGTTTCACGACCAAGCTAGTTAACGCCATCAGAGCCGAGACGTGATGCCTGCTTCTGAATATCCGGAAGGCTCTCACGACGAAGACGAGGCCGAATTGTTCGACCTCGTTCCAAAAAGGCAGGAAAAGAACAATGGGCTTAAATTGACAAGGAGGTCGATTTCGGAGGTTGGATGTCGGAAACTTTTCTCAACAGATGTTCAAAACTTCTTTTAAATATATATATTTTTTTAAAAAATGGCAAATTCTGCGGCTCGTTTTGGTGGGTTCCCCCCCCCCTCCCCTCCTTCCACCGCTGAGGGGTTGTAAGATCCGAATCCCGAACCCGAGAAGGTACCTACTTAAATTCCTTCTCCGTCTTGCCTCGCAGGTCTCGAACCAGCCACTGGGAGGTGAAGGCGTCCTGGGGGGGCATCCCCCAGCGCATGACGGCGTTCAGGAAGGCCTTGCGCTGACGGGTGTTGAAGCCCAGCACCTGGAGGGAGAGGCAGCAAGCGCAGGCCCAGGTCAGCCCCGCCAACGTCCACAGCGGTGTCCTCCAATGACGACCGGTCGTTTTAGCAACGGTTTCCCAAAGCTCCGACGGAGCTCCCTGGGGTCTCTTACAACCGAGATTCCAAGTTCTGATAGTTTCTCTTCTCTCTTCTTCCTCCCCTCTCTTCTCTCGCTCCTTCTCTCTTCTCTCCCTCTCTCTCTCCCTTCTTTCCTCTCCCTTCTCTCCTCTCCTCCCCCTTTTCTCTCTCCTGTCCTCTCTCCTCCCTCTCCCTTCTCTCTTCTTCCTTCCCTCTCTTCTCTCCTCCCCCTCTTCTCTCCTTCTCTCTTGTCTTTCTCCCCTCTCCCTTCTCTCCTCCTCCTCCTCCCCTTCTCTCTTCTCTCCTCCCCCTCTTTTCTCCCTTCTTTTCTCTCATCTCTTCTCCCCTCTCTCCCGTCTATCTATCTATCTATCTATCTATCTATCTATCTATCTATCTATC